CTCCTGTACATTCTCTCGGAAATTTAGGAAACGCAGCGGCGTTTGATTACAATTTTACCAGCAGCGCTCAGCGGCCGTGCAGCTCTCCGGTGCCGGCAGCGGAGGAAGTTTTTTTCCTTCCAGACGGCAACGCCATCCCACTGGCGGAGCATCGCCACCTTACGACGGAAGTCCTTTTTAACTTTGGTATTATGGGCGAAGAGTATATTCCCAAATCACGCTACATGACCGAATTGGGGGAGATTTTTAATCCTTCCTTTCCTATGGGAATTAGTTGGTTGTCATTTGCCGCCATCAATAACTGTCAACCGGCAATGCGACCATCCCTTTTTGCACACATCGTTCTTGCGGGTGGAAACGTCTCTTTCCCAGGCACCAGGGAGCGGATAGAGGCGGAGGTGACCCGGCTATACAGGGAGACCCATGCCAGCGAGGCGGTGACACCAATCTGCGTACATGATGTGGAGTGTCGTATTTACAGTGCCTGGCTCGGTGGCTCCATGCTGGCGCGAACGTCCATGTTCCCACATTTAACTGTCTCGCGACAGGAGTACGAGGAACAGGGTTACCGTGTCGTGCATTGCAAATGCCAGTAGAGATTGGATGTATACACATGTTGAGAGTGAAAGTGAGAGAGAGCTGCGGTAATGTTAATGTATAGGTGCATTTTTTTTCTTCTTTTTTTTTTCATTGTGCACGATGAGAAGCGGGGAGGCGAGAAGGAAGAAGTTTCTTGTGGCTCTCCTTTTGAATTATTTGTTTTTTCTTTTTAAATGGAAAGAGGTTGTAAGACGAGGGAAGAACAACGAAAGAAAAGAAAAGAAAAGAAAAGAAAAAAAAAATGTAACACGAGAGTTTTTATCAGGTGAAGTGATGAGAGGCGATGAAAAAAGAGATTGGCAGAAAAAATATGAAAGAAAAGAAAAATATATCTACGCATGTGTTCACTACGTTTTTGTATAACTTTACTGGTATTATTTTCTTTTTTTTTTTTCTGTACGCCTTGCCTCCTTTTAAATGTGTACGCATGCATGGGCAATGTGCGATCCTTCCCCCGCAGTGGGACAGTGTACGTTTGTTGTTTGCGGCTGTGGAACTGCGGTGGGGAAAGGGGAGGGGAAGGAAAAATGCGTTCCGGCCTGTTTAATGCGGAGGGACTTGCGAAGGAACCCGTCAGTGGGTTTGAGAAGATAACGGAGGGGACAGCGGCCGTTTTATTTCCACCGGCGAACGTCAAAGGCACTTCAGCCAGCCAGCATGCGGACTGCACGAAGAGACAAGGCGATCATCGCGATGCAGACGACATTGACGATGACGGTCAGGCCGTCTTTTACAATCCTGCGCAGGTGGTCAATCGTGACCTGAGTGTATGTGCACTGGCGTGTTTTTCACATCTACGCCGCGAAGAGCCTCGCCGCAAGGGGGGCACGCGTGATGGCATCACTATTCTGGAGGCGCTGAGTGCAACGGGTCTCCGGGCCATCCGCTACTACAACGAGGTCCCTGGTGTTCGTTTTATCATCGCAAACGACCTCGACCCCGACGCCGTTGCATGCATCCGTCGTAACTGTGAGTTTAACGGTGTGCCCTGCGCCAGGCCGACACTGACAGAAAACTTTCCACCGGAGGGCATTCGTGTGGATGAGGCCACTGGGGCCATCGAAGCTGGTGGTGCGGTGATACCAAATCTGGACGACGCGAATGATTTGATGTTTCGTCTGGCCGCAAACTCCACCGTGTACGCTGGACGCCGTTTTTGCGCGCTACCATCCCAGATGTCGACTAACATCACCACTTCTAATGGTGACGCCAGCGTGAACGAGGCGCAGCCGTTGCTGCAACAGGAGCTGATGGATGTGGTGGATTTGGATCCATACGGTTCAGCCTCTCCCTTTTTGGATGGTGCTATGCGGTGTATCAAGGAAGGGGGATTGCTGCTTGTGACAAGCACAGACACTGCCATTTTGTGTGGGGGACACCCGGACACATGTCATGCCAAATACAACACAATCCCTACAAAGAATGCTGCATGTCATGAAATGGCTGTGAGAATTCTTCTTGCCGCGTTGGAGCGCGTTGCAAATAAACACCGCAGGTATATTTTACCCTTGCTCTCACTGCACATTGATTTTTACGTCCGATGCTTTGTTCGTGTCTATACGCAACCAGCGGAAGTAAAGCTCAGTCCATGCAAATTGGGATACCTTCTGCAGTGTAGTCATTGCCCAGCGTACTGGGTGCGCCCAATGGCAGTTGCTCGTATGCGAGACAAGAAGTGTGCACGAAAGAAAAACAAAATGCCCAACAACGACCTATTGAAGAGTTCTATTAGCAGCGGAAACAATAATGATAATAACAATATAAATAATGCTTCCAAGAGCAATGATATGGGGATTGACCATGTGGAATGTAGGGCTGATACGCTTGGGAGGGAGCGCTTTCCTGCAATACCTTTGAGGCAGGAGAATCCAAAAATCACATCTTGTAGTTTGCGGCACATGCTTCCATGTGTAAACACACACTGCTGCAATGTATGTGGTGCTTCTCTGACGTTGTCGGGTCCAATTTACGCTGCCCCAACGCAATGCGTTTCGTTCCTTTTGCAACTCCTGCAGGAAGTGGAGCGGCGTGGGGCGGCAAAGCAGATTACGGCAGAGGCACGTGTCGCTGGTCTGGTGCGTCTGGCCATGGAAGAGTTGCCTGACACCCCGCTGTTCTATCAACTTCCCGACATTGCCTCCTTTGTGAAGGTGCGATGCCCACCCACGCCACAACTCGTGGGTGCACTGGGGCGAATGGGATATCGATGCAGCCAAGTTCATTGTGCCCCATCGGGGCTTAAAACGGACTGTCCGCCCGATGTTCTTGTCCGTGTGATGTTGCAGTGGAAAAGGGTGCAGGAACAGGCATCTGGTGATGCTGAGAAGGGCAGTTGTGATGCGGCGAAAGCAGCTGTATTGAGCGCCACAGCAGCTGAGGCCATAAACGAGAAGGCGGGGGAAGAAGAGAAGAGGGGTGCTGGTGTCTTTGTGCTGGAGCCAATTGACGGGGCCGATTTTTCATACGACCGACGGTTTGATTTTCGCGGCGCTGTAACGGGTGTAGCCAAGTTTATTCCAAATGCGCCGAACTGGGGACCGAAGCGACGTCATCAGGGCGCAATGCATAACAATGATGAGCAATTGACACAGAAACAGCGAAAAGAGTAACACGAAGCACAATCTTTTCTTTGTTGTTGTTGCTGTTTGTTTGTTTCTTATATTTGACGGCCGTGGAGATGATTGGAAAGAAAAAGAAGAAAAAAATCAACGTTGCACTGTGTGTGTGTGTGTGTGTTGGGGCTGAGTGAGTGGGGCAAGGTTTGGATTGTATTTCCAGACGACACGTCGCCATTTTGAGGAGCGGAAGCTGTCTGCATCCATCTCGTTTTCTGCTCTTGTTGTTACGTTTTTTTTTTTTTTTTTTGGTGTTACTTCTCTGCTGCCGTGACTCTCATTTTTGTTTGTTCTGCCTTTTTGCGTGTATGGTGGGGAATTGTGACTGAAGGAGAAAAACACGATACCCACGGCCTGACGAAAAGAAGGCGGGTAGGTTGCCGAGGGAGAGAGAGAGAGAGAGAGGAGTGAGAGTCAACTTTTTTTTCCTGCTGCGTCGGGCGTTGTTCCCGCCAAACATATATATACAGCGGAAAAAGAAACATCATAGATATAAACGGCAGCTCCAGAAGACACTTCCAACATTTATCTCAATGTTGCGCTGCTCCCCCGGACGCCATTACATCTTTGATGCGTGTTATGTGCTCAACCTTGACCGCCGACGGGACCGCTGGGCCCATGTTCAGCGGCAAATTGCTCGTGTCGGGCTTGAAAAGTTTATACAGTCGCCCGCAAAGGTCACCCGGGTGAGTGGCGTCGATGGGAACTCGCTTGATGTGGAGGCGTTGCATAGGGACGGTGTCATTACAGATCTTGGCTATACCCGCTTTCTTCTTCCCACGGAGGAGAAGCTTTTTGGAATGGATCTCACACGCGGCGCCATTGGCTGTGCGCTTGGGCACCGCAAGATATGGGAGATGATTGTGGCGGAGCGACGCACACGTGCGTTGGTGCTCGAAGACGACGTTGAGTTTCACCACAAGTTTGGTCGGCTGCTGGGGCCACTGTGGAAAAGGGTACCAGCAGATTGGGGCATTGTGCATCTGGGTGGACTGGATCTTCTTGCCGCGGAGAAGCCGCCTCGACCATTCATTGACGACGGCATTCGCCTTGCCTATCAGGGTCATCGTGAACTTACCGCATATGTCATTCATCACATCTCTGCAAAACGCTGTCTTGAATTGTCAACGCCAATGACATGGCAAGTGGACACGCATATTAGCAATATTGTGGAGTCCGATCCGGAGGCGCAGGACAAGTATATTGTAGACCCCAAGATGTACGTGTTTCAGCCTTCTCTCGCGATTCAAATCACCTCCTTGGGAACCGATGTGCAGAAGCGACCATCTGAAAACCCTCCACTTGAAGACGCCGCGCGGCGAATGCGTGAATTTATTGGTGGAGGGACTTCTGTGCGCTGAAATTTGGTGCAGCTGCTTTTGCAGATTTTCGTTGACGAGTTTGTGTTTCTGCATTTGTACGCCCGTGAGCCTCTGTTTTCTTTTTGTCTCACTCACTCTTCCCTTTTGCCCGTATGTGGGGACATGCTTCCTTGTTTGTTTGTCTTTTGTTGTTGTTTTTTTGCTCTTGCTTCCCGATATCTCTGTATTTGTGTGAGCCGTCGTCAACATTAGTCATTCAGATTAAAGTACACACTGCGTGAAGGCAATCGTGTCTGGAACCGGCGTGTGTGCTTACTCCACCACCACCACCACCCCACAGCGCTCTCGCACATTACCCTATATACACATAGACAGGGAAAGCGAGAAGGGTTTCAATAAAGACCGAGCAAACAAGTGGTGGGAATTTTATTTACGCCCGAGTTTACACCCACCGTCTTGCGAAATGAGTTCAAATCCGATTGATTTTAGTAGCAGCCTCACGCCACGCGGAAGAATGAGCCTGCAAGATAATGAGAACTCCACCTCCTCCAGCGGAGGCCCTCTCGGCACCGTCCTTTCTGTAACAACACAGACGCGGTCCATGAAAATGCCGGGCAGCACGAGCAGCTCAAGTCTGAGGACATCTCTGCAAGGGGTCAAACTGCCTAAACGACGTTTTTTGCCTGCGGCGGAAGACGATCCGGTGATGAATCGTTTGCAGTTCCGCTACGCGACAAAACCAAAGGAACGGATGTATGCCAAAGTACCAACGGCCGTGAATCGCTTAACCGCGAGTGCGGGAGGGGAGTTGCGGAGTGAAGTGGAGGCTTCCACAGCGGCCATCCATCAGGAGACTGTGGGAATGCTCTGCAGAAACCTCCCGCTGATTGCGGATCCTTCCAGCGAAATAGAAGCGGTATTGGGGTCCATCGAAACGGAGCGTCCGAAGAAGACAGCGAACTTGGATGATCGCATTACTCCCCAAACTCTCTATAAGCTTCTGCATACAGGGCGTGCCTTGGCCTCTAAGATGGCCTCGAGGAGAAAAGCCCAAGAAGTATTGGAAGATCTGAAAAAACTTCCTAATACGAAGTTGGATGATCTACGCACACAAGTAACACGCTTGGAGCCCCCCTATGTGGATCAAATGCTGCAAGCAAAAGTGTTTAACAGACCACAGAACGATGAAGATTTGAGACCACGTGAGGCATTCCCTATTACTTTGCTGGACACTGAAGATAAAAAATTGAACTTGCGGTCAGAACAGGAATTTCATTCTCACGTTTTGGCGCCACCTCCCACACGCAAAGAAAATAGGGAAGTAAGACACAAATTGTCTCTTTTCTCTCCTTCTTCACATGCAGGAGATTCCCCTGAAAACGTGGCGGTTGCCTTAAATGTGCCGTTAACACTTTCTACCGGCATGGGAGATGATACCGGTATCATTGAACAATTTGTTTCCTATGCCTCCGCACGACGACGACCTGAAATTGGTGGTGGTGTGCATTCAGATACAGTGGCTGGCATCCCACGTCCTCATCCGTCATACAACCCCGTCTTTTCCGCATTAGATGCCGTACTTGCTGTAAGTAAAGAATATGAAAAGGTCCAACAAACATGGCCTGGGGCCAGTACACGGCAAATGAGTGCCTCACGTCAAGCCATCATTGATCGTATTGCATCGTGGGAGTCTTCACGCATTCCACGTTCTCTGTGGGTGACCGTTAGCGATCCCACCTTCCCTGGCTCTAGGCTTCATCAGTTAGATGAGGATGCCTCGAGTGGCGCTCCCAAAAGGAGTTCTATTGTGTTTCCTGCAGTCAAAGCTACCGGTCGCGCGCAGGTGTATCTACTTGCAGACGCCCTGGATCGTATGTTTCAGGAGATTCCAGACACCCTCGCTGTGTTGGCAGACAGGGAGACTGCGAAAATTCTCTTGCCCGAGGCGCCAGAAAACGATGGCCCCATTGTATACAGGGATTTAGCGGATGTGGAAAGGATTATGGACTTAAAGGCCTTACAAGAGTCGGATTCTGCCCATCGGAAATACATCGAGGCCGCAGAGAAAGTCATGGAAGTTGTCGATGTGGGTCTCGTTGAAATTATACGGCAGGTGGCCGGTTCATGCAAGGAGCGTGGTGCCTTATTGGATGTCCTTCGCCTTCTTATCAAGGATGTCATCTCAAGTTGCCTCTGGCTTATTGGTTATTGTAAGGATCAGGCTCGACGTGAGGCAAAAGCACGCCGTGAACTAATTCAGGCCTCTAAACAGGATGTGGAGGAAGTTATGATGTTGCGAGAGGAAGTGAGAAAAAGGAAACAAGAGGAGGAGATAATGCGTGGCGCCAATGCTGAGCTTGAGCAGAAGGCTTCCAAGTACGATACCCTCATTGATCGTCTGAAGTTGAAGGACAAGAATTTTTCGCGACACCCGGTTCATAAGCATCTGCGTCTTTTGATGGAATTGGAGGAGGATTATACAAAAATGACAACAAAGGGGCTTGAAGAATTATATAAGCGTCAGAACGCACAGCCCAGTGATGAACCGAAAGTATATGATGCTCCCACAGCACACATGAATAGTGTGAGACAGGAAGAGCAACAAATTTCACAGGAAGAATTATATACAGAGTCCTATCGCCTTCTTGCCGCAGTAACAGAGGCGCTGCGGGTGGTGGACGAGACATGTGAGCCACTGTACGATCGTATTGCCTTGCCGCCCCTCGGACTGACGTCAAAGGTAGCGTCCATGAGGTGGGCGGAGATTGCCAATGCTGTGGGCTCCTACGAGGTTGAGAAAAAACACCGTCAACACGTGTTTGAGTTGTTTGCACGGTGGAATGAGATGCAAGGGAAATCGGGTGCCACCTCCGCTCAACCGTCGGGTTTGGGCGGGGAGATAACCGATTCGGAGGCCCCTCAGTCCCCGGATGAGAAGAGCCCACACAAAAAAGCAACGCCTTATGAACTTCAGACGTTAGGCCTGGAGGCGGAAATGACGGATGATCCCAAGAAACGGGTCCAGTTTATTACAAGGAAAGATCTTGCGGACATGGGCGTGACGGACTGTTCGCCGGATGAGATTAACGCGATGTATAGTCCCGATTTTGATATTGCAGCGTTCCTTCGAATTGAGTACAATCCACCCGGTGAGTACGAAATGACCCCAAAAATTCTTCGGGACATGGTGCACGACGTAACGGAGGTGTTGCGGCACATTACACTCCGTATGAATGCTCTCGCAAACAGCGGCTTGGTCAAGGAAGGCGTCAAACCGCCTCTGCAAGCGCCTGCGCATCCAGAGGACGCATGCATGCTTTGTGGTCGACGGGATCGCGTGGCGATGGAAAGGAAGACCAGAAGTGAGACAATGCAACGGGTGGCAGGCGAAATTCAACGGCGTTACGATGAGATGGTCAAGAAGTGCCAGAGGGCGGAGTCGGAGCGGGAAAGTTACCGCAGGGAAATTCAGCGCTTCCAAATACGGGAGAAGAAACAAATTGAGGAGTGGGAAATCCGAGAAAATGAGTTGCGGCAGGAAAATGCCGCGCTCCTGGAGGAAAATCGGCGGCTGGCGCAGCAGGCATATTCAGCAGGGACCTCCTCGGGGGATGTTGAGACTGAGCATGGCACCGTGGCATTTGTGCGGAACCGCCTTATGTCGGATGCCATGTCGTTGAGCTCTGAAGAATTTACGAGTGAATATGGGGATGGGGATGAGGAGGACGAGCAGAGTGGCCCGCCTGATCAGTCCGACAATGCTCCTTGGTAAGGGGACGGAAGGGCCGGGAAGAACGGGAAGAAGGGGTTTACATGGACAAATCCTTTTCATTATGTTATCTGCAGCAATTGTTACAAATGGAGCAACAAGTGCAGGGCATTAAAAAGAAATGAGGAGGGAGAGTGGATGGTTGGAGTCGCAAGGCCCCTGTTATGGTTTTTGATGAAGTTGCTTGTTTGTTTTAATATGTACTCATATTTTATGTATGTATGTATATATGCGTGTGTAAGATACGTGCTGGGTTTTTGAGTTGTGCTTCTCTCTTTTTTTTTTTTTTTTTTTTTTGTGTGTGTGTGTCTTTTATACGTGCACCTCTAATATCTGTGTTATTTGATATTTATTTTTCTATTTACATGTATTTCAAATCTATGTGATGTAATACACATGAAGTGTTCTGCAATCAAACAATACGCGTGTATTCCGACTTCTTTTATTTATTTATTTTTTTTTTTTTTTTTTTTGTTCGTTTGTTTGTTTATTTTTTTTGTTTTCCCTCTTTTTCTCTTTTTCTCTTTTTCCTTTTTTTTTTTTTTTTTCTCTGCGTGCATGTGATCCATTTTTCCGTTTCTTTTCTTTTCTTTTTTGTTGGAGGTCCTTTTCTCACCCCCGCACATACGCACACATCAAACGCTCACTGGCCCCTCTGCGGCAATCCGTCAGGCATTCGGATATATTTTTTTTTTTTTTCTTTTTTTTTCTTTTTTTTTTTTTTAGTTTGTTTGTTTGTTGTGGCGAGGTGGCACGGTGAATTGTCGCCCCGCCGTCAAAGATGCTCGAGCCCCCCCAAACTGCACACGCGGAGGTCAACCTGGAGAAGTTGGAGCAACTCGTGGCGAACATCAACACGAAGTATGCCGCGCTGCAGCGGCAGGTGTTGCACAGTTCGAATAGTCATGCCACATTTTTTAACGGCCTCACGGCGGAATACGTGAATTCCGAGATGAAAATGTCGTTTCAGTCTGGCAGTCCAAGCGAAAACGGCCATGCTTCTGTTCCTGTGGATCCATTACCTCCACTCACCCCATTTTGCAGGTCGCATTGGCCAACCTACTGGAACGAGCGGGAACTGCACGTTGCGGCATCCGAACTATGCCAATGCCTGAACGGCGGTGTCAACTACCGCGCAATGTGCATACAATACCAGACAATTTTTGAACTTCTACTGACGATGCTAAGGGAAGATATTCGGTTGGTGCGTGGCATGGAATTTCTTCCGAGTGGAACGCTGGAGAGATCATACAAAGTCCTTTCCGACCTTGTCAATGAATCCAGGCAACTCCTAACACAGTACGGTCTTATTCCAGGTTCCTCCATACGAGTGATGGAAGAAGTGGAAAATAAAAGTTCAAGCGAGGTGGGGGAAATGCCCAATCCGGATTACGCACTACCCGTTGCGCTTGCATGCAGTGACTCCTATAACAACAGTACCAACAACAACAATTTTATTCATCAAATTAGGTCGTCTGAAAAGAGCGGCTATGGAAGAGGGCATGGAACCAAGCATGAGACACGCGTCACGATCAGCGACCCTTTAGAAGATTCATTGAGGGAAACGGCATACACACCGCTGCATCTATGCTCTTCCCCAGGCAAAGCTGTGGCGGATGACAGTTATGATGTCGACACCCCCATGTTGCCAGTAGAGGAAGAAAACGCAGCACCTGAAAATCAGGGCGTTCAAGGTGCCAAATTCGGGGGTTATTATGGGGGGGCTAGAACGAACTTGGACCCCGTCAATCAATCACGTTATCAATTGATGGAAGAAATTTACAAGGAACTGTATCTCAATGAGGGAATGGAGATGTTGGTTGCAATGGCGCGAATGGTCTTTTTAAAAGAGTATCATAATGTTGTAGCAAGATCGCGAGATGAGGCCTTTTTAACCTTTAGGAAGCATCTTGACGAACACCTTTTACCGTGTATTCAAAGCTATGAGTCACTCGTTTTCCCCCCGGCAATGCAGTCCTCACTGCGTTCCGAGTATGTAGTGAATTGTTTGCAGCAACGTATTAGACCCAATGAACGACTGCTGGACGTCTTGTCTCGCGTTGGACCTGAGCGTGATCTTTCATCGATGGCTCTTGCAAGCATGAAGTTGAATGATGTCGATATGAAACCATTTGTTTTAGTGCTACCGAGATTATGTTTTCTTCGCTTCTTGGATATAAGCCACAATGACATTCATGACGATGGCGTTCGCGAGTTGTGCTCCGTCCTTGAGCGTCACCCATCGTTGGAGGTGCTTGACCTCTCGGATAATCCCTTCACCGATATTGGTGGGACGGCGTTGTTGCAACTTGCAGCCACCACAACGCAATTGAAGGCGGTAGGCCAGCAGGGCGTGGCATTCAGCGCACATATCCGTGAAGCAATTTGTCGACAACTACAAAAGAACCGCAGTGCGTGCGACTCCGCATTGGCGCCTGCGCATATTTCTCACCTATCTAGTATTTCTAACACCCATGAGCCGTGCAAACCTGCCTTCACCGGGCGATTGGCGCCCCTGACGTCGTTGGATGGAACACGGTGTGTGCCGGCAAGGAGACGCTCGAACTTAGGCGTGATACCAGGCCCAGGAACAGACTCAATGGTTTCCCGTAGTTTAGGCATGTTGCGTCGAGTGCGTCTGCCGTACCTGACGGCAATGCGTGGCGGTCACTCAACCGGCAGAATACGTGAGAGTAATAGCAGCCCCCGCTGACACATTGCAACAACAAACGAAAGAAACGAAAGAAAGAAAAGGTCGTTCGAGTTGATGACGGCTCACTGTGAAGTCGGAAAGGAAAAATGGATGTTTATTTAAGAAGTGGTAAATGCAGAAGAAGAAAGAAAAAAGAAAAAAGAAAAAAAGAGGAAAATGAATATGAAAGGAATAACAAAAGAAAATGGAAATAGAAATAATAATAAAAAAATTTGCCTGTATCGACATTGTGGTGGTAAATAAAAATAAAAATAAAGAAAGAATTATGTGTACATGCGTCGAAAGAGATAAGATGGGAGGGGCGGGGGAAAAGGAAGGAAAAAAAAAAAAAAAAGAGGTTAAATGAGGAGTAAATGGAGGGTGTGACGCAATAGAAAAAGGCGCTACAACATGCACGTAGAGCCATATGTGTTACTTGTGTAGTATGCCGATAGATGTATGTATTTTACTGTACGTGTACGGTTTTGCGAGAGATATTTTTATTATTGTTGTTGTTTTTGTTACGCGTCCAAATGGTCCCGGGTGGGACTGCTGAATAGGTCTGTCCGTTCAAAATAAATTCTTAAAAAAAAAAAAAAAAAAAGAACTTATGAATGTTGTTTTTCTTGTCGTTTATTATTTTTATTATTATTGAGGGGGTGGGCCTCGATGCATAAATGCCAACAATAGATGCGGCTTCCTCGACGACGAAACGCCGGTACGCGGCGAAGGTGGAGAAGGGTGAGAATGCCTGGCGTCGCGAGTGGTCGAGTTTCATGTCGGGCATCAACATGAAGGAGTTGCGAAAGGGCGGGGGCGTCATCCTCCCAAAGTCTGCGGATCTTGAGGTGGCGGAGCCCAACAGCCGTGGCGATGCATGCAACTTCTCGTATTTGTTTGCGTCCCCCGCGGAGAAGAAGGCGGCGCGACTTGCGAAGCAGCGTGAGGACGATGAAAGGCGAAAAAAAAGTGCACTTCAAAGGGCGGGGCATTCCAGTAATCCGCTGGCGCACTTGAGCAAGCATGAACGGACGTTGTTGGAGGCGAGGCAGCGTGGCCTGAAGATTGACGGGATGACACGAAAGGAGGTGCGACAGTTCCTGCACTTAACGATATCGAAGGAGCAACAGGAAGCGGAACGGCACCAGGAGGAGTTCCGGCCGCATGAGCTTATGGACAAGAAACTGCAGTGGTACCAGCAGGGCCCACATCCCATCGATATTATTGCAGAGAAACTTGTTGTGCGAAAGGCGGCAAAGAAGGCGAAACAACTCGGGCTTCGCTACAACTATTTGATGCCGCATGCATCATGGCTAGCGAAAAGGGAACAAAGGCGCCGGGAGCGTCTTTTAGTAGGGCTGGGTCGACGCTACGTGTTTGATGAGGAGGGACTTATGATGGATATGTTCGGCAATTACGTGGACACGATGTCCTCCACGGCAGCGACGCAGGGCGTGCACGCCGGGGAGACGGGTAGGGAGGAACACAACGCCGAATCGCAACACCCTCCAATGGGGGAACAAAAGAAAAGAGACTCTTCTGTTGTACCAGTGCCAAACATGTACTCTGACGCTTTGATTGAGCCTTGGAAGGCCTCCAGTTCGTACGTGCGCGCCGTGGTGCGGGACCGTCGCGTGGCAGACGCCATTAAGAATGCGAACATCACCACTTCGTACCTCAGCAGTTCACTTGTGATGGGGCCAAGCATTGGAGTCGATGACGATGAGGAGAATCCTCTTGTCGCGCAGAAGCCTGTGAAACAAACGGAACCTCGTCGAGTGAAAGCACGAGAGATGCGGTCTAAAGCGGCCTCCTTTGAGCCGTAGCACCATGGAAAGAGAGGATAAATTTAAGAAAAAAAAAAAAAGAGTACAAGAGGAAGGTGAGAAATATAAAAAGGAAAAAAGGAGTGGGGCAGTAGTGAGAGTGGGAGTGCGATGACGAGCAGATGGGCCACGCATGCATACATACGTGCGGCATGCATGTGTTCCTCCTCATCCTCCTCCTCTTTTGCTTAACGCAGGCACTCACACAACCACATAAGCCCCAACCTCTTTATATTATCGGTACGACTGTGGTTCTGTACAATATATCTGCACGTGCAAGGGTTTCTGTGTCTTGTTTGTTGTTGTTGTTGTTTTTTATTATTTTTGGGGTATACGTTGTTGCGTAGCGACACCCAATTTGCGGAAGAAGAAGAAGAAGGGGCTTAGACGAAACACACACACGCACACACATAAACAAATACATACGTGAGAGGTTCAAAAAGAAAAGAAAAAAAAGGGAGGGAGAAGAATCCAGCAGCCGAAAA